GCAGACAAGGTAGCATGGTTTGTTAGTGTCCTTGCCCACTGCATACTGCCCAGGAAACAACCTGTCATCAACCCACCCTGCAGGACAGAGAGCAGGCCATCACTGTCCTCGATGCGCATGAGCAGAAACAAGGCAACAGAGGACTGGCCTGTGGAGTGCGCGTCTGACCTCACACTCAGAACCACTGCGCTCCCCTTCCCTATTCTGAAAGAAAATGAAGTCAGTTTGCTGTAGGTGGGAGCTTTTCTTCTGACGTGATGCTGCCAGGAACCTTCAGATCAAGGGGAGAAAGGAGGGAAGTACATGTGCTTAAAGGTCATCACCCTGACTGAAGGTACGGGCCTACCTGGAAAGCCAACAAGACACACGTTGAGCAGGCTCCATGCACACACCTGTGATCCCAGCAGCTCGGGAGGCTGAGGCAGGAGCATTGGGAATTCAAAACCAGTCTCAGCAACTTTAGCAAGGCCCTGTCTCAAATACAATGTAAAAATGTAAAAAGGGCTGGGGATGTGGCTTAGTGGGTAAATGCCCCTGGGTTCAATCCCTGGTACCAAAAACAAAACAAAACAAAATCCAACATGTTAAAATGGAAGTAAGTTAATCAAAGCTAGTTGGACAATTATAAAAATAGATAGGTCATATAGTGGACCCAAAAAATCTACCATATGCACATGACTAAAATAGTTTTTAATGACAAAACTGTTTCAGTTCCCAACACAAAAGAACTATAAATATCTGAGATGATAGATATGTCAATTACCCTGATATGACCACTAAACATCCCATAAAAAATACATTTAAAACCAGTTTTCATTGTATGGTCAAATTAGTTAAACATACACTCTGTTCTGAAAAAAAATTAATCTTCATCAGTGATTGAACACATAAAATAGGTGTTTTTCCCTGAGATAGCTATGAAAGGAATAGAAATACTTTTAAGAAAACCATTTCCTTCATTTCTAAAAGGAATAAAAGCTTCGGTAGTCGGAAGCTACTCCCTCGAGCACAAAGATGAAAGCTGGCATCAGGCGTGACCTTCAGGTGTTACAAAGGCTCTGGGGCTCTGGAAGGATGGAGATTCCTCTTGTGACAGAAGTGACTTCCAGTGGGTCCAGAGAAATGCACCCACCTCCTCCCACAGCACAAGCCTGTCACCTTGTCCCAGAGTGCATGCAAAGTGCCTGTGTGATGCTGAGCCCTGATTGGTGCTCTGTCAAGGAAAAGCCAGTATCCTTCCAGCCTCCGACTATAGAAATCAAAGCCCTCAGATCCTGTCCTTGACCCAGTCAGCAGGGAAGCTGGGGTGCACCCAATTCTATGATTGCTTTCTGAACAGCAATGAACCAGCGAGACTCTGGCTCACATCTGGGCCTTTGCCCTCATCACACTGGGATTCACAGGGGCTGGTGATGTTTGCCTTGTGCCTTCCACACACTGTGCAAACACAGGGGACCACAGGGGGTTGATGTTTCTGAACCTTTGCAAAATCATTGGCCTTGTCTGTCTGTTGCTGGGTTGTTTTAGACGTTAGACTACACTGCCTGCTTCGAACCTGGAGAGGCAAATACATGTTAGCATGAAAGAACTCTTGTGGCAGCATGCAATACAGGGGCAGCCTGGCTTTCAGAGTGGAAGATAGCTGGGTTCAAATCCCAGGTCAGCTCCTTCAGTAGCATGGTGTTTTGTTTCCTTACTTGAACACTCCAGCCCATGCTCTCCAAGGATGGAGACGATCAGAATGCTCCACAGTCTAGCGTAGGCCCAGAGGGAGGAAGCAAAGTCTCCTGGTGCTAGCTAACCTATTGGTGGCACGGTAAACTAGGGGCAAACGGCCTCAGTGGCATTTCTCCACGTGCCCCACCAGGCGGCAGCCATGGCATCTCCTGCAGTGCTGCCCAACCTCCTGAGGCTGAGGCGGGCATCCAGCACTCTGCAGAGGATTCTTCCCACAGCTCAGGTTTCAGAACCCCTGCTCACGAGGGAGAGAAGAACACTAGGGGATAAGACTGAGCAGCTAGGAAGGAGATCCAGGCCCCTCTCACACAGGTCTTCTCCTTGGGCTGATCTGTGGCAGCAGTCCAGTGTCATTCGAGAGTCTCCCTCAGTTTCCTGCCATCTTCTGGGTCCACGTGAGAAGTGGCAGAGCACCTCCTGGTCAAGGAAAGGCAGCTACGCATGGTAACATCAGCAATCACTCTGTCTTTGCTTCTCCACCATGGGATACTCCTAACCCCATCATGGGGCCATGGGATGGGAAGAACTTCTTGGTGCTTATGGAATTGCAATATTGAGTACCAAGATACACTTTCATGGGGCTGGGGTTGTGGCTCAGTGGTAGAGCACTCGCCTAGCATGTGGGAGGTGCTAGGTTCAATCCTCAGCCCCACATAAAAATAAATAAATAAAATAAAGGCATTGTGTCCAACTACAACAAAATTTTTTTTAAAAGACACACTTTCATAGATGATTAAGGCAGCTATGACCCACAGACCTCACTGATTCTAACAGAAAATGAACCCAATTCAATCAAAGTCTAGCTATTTTAATTCTCAAAGGCATTTATTCTGCTTCTTTAATGATATTTTAAATAGATACTGCTAAGTTAAAAGTCCCTCAAAGCCCATATGACAAAGGCACGGTCCCTCCTCTGACACTGTTGGGAGGTGGTGGCACCTTAAGGGGTGGGGCCTAGTTGGGCCTTAGGTCTTTGGGACTGTGCCCTTGAAAGGGCTATTGAAAACCAGGTGCAGTGACTCGTGCCTGTAATCCCAGCGCTCAGGAGGCTGAAGCAGGAGGATCAAGCCTCAGCAACTCAGTGAGACAAGACCCTGTCTCACTGAGAGTAGGACTGGGGATGTGGCTCAGTGGTTGAGTGGCCCTGGGTTCATTCACTAGTACAAAAAAAGGGGGAGGGCTATTGAGACCGCAGTCCCCAGCTCTTTCCTTGTCTTTGGTGTCTTTCCCTTGAGGTGAGTGGTTTTGCTCTGCCACATGTTCCTGCCATGACATAAGGCCTCACAAGCAATGGGGCCAATAATTCATGGACTAGAGTCTCCAAAAGTCCAAATCAAAATAAGCCTGTTCTGGACTGGGTCTAGCTCAGCGGTTCCTTCGACAGAGAACTTACAAAATAAGCCTGTTTTGTTTATAAGTTGATTTACTTTAGTTTTGTCTATTATAGTAATGAAAAGCTAACACAGATAGTGTCTGCTCATCATACAAACTCTAAAAGGAACAAAAGAATGGACAGAGTGAAAGTCAGTCTCCCTCCATCCCTTGTCCCCTCAGCTACCTTAGAGGGACACTGCTGACATTTTTTTGGCATCTTTACAAATACACATGTATATATTTTCTTTTTTCCAATGCACAACAAGTAGCATACTTCACACAATATCCTGAACTTTGCAAATAAATCTTAAAGATGTTTAACAGCACACATAAAGGACCCCTTACTGTCTTGACTACTGTATAGTAATCCATTGAATGGATTCACTATGCTGTATTCAGCTCTCCCTATGTGTGGAGATGTTAACTGTTCCCAATCCTTCCATACTAAGAGTAATGCTATACATGTGAAATTGCACAAACTTGCTTGTCTATCCTATGATATCTCTAGAGATGGAGAAATAGTCTTGTTGGGCCATAGGGCATGTCCAGTAACATTAATACATTCAACTAACTGCTTGTTTTATATTCTAATACATTCAAGAACTGTTTGGTTAACATTCTATTTACATTTCTTCCAGCAAAATTAGACAGTATTGGTTCACCAGAGACATTTTAAAGGCTAGATTGTCTCCATCAAAACCAAAATACCAAAACCAAACAGATGGAAAATTGAAAAAAAAAGCCTTCAATATTTTCTTTCTTTTTTTTAATGCATAATCTGAAAGTTTTGCTTTTGTAAGGAGGAAGGGAAATTTCCTCTCCACCCTGTCAAAGTTCACTGAAACAAACCTAACAACCATAATAAGAGAAAAGGTTTACAAACGTACTAACCTGTAAAAGGGAAGTCAGAGGAGTGTGCTTCCCACCCACCTGACATTATTCAGACAGGTATCATACCCCTCTTCTAAGGGGAGGGGAAGCACGGGGTCCTTGAAACAGTGTAGCCTGTGAAAAGACTCTCTAGGATTCGGGTGAGTCCGTGGGCAGACACTCTTGAGTTAAGGAAGTTCGCCCATGTGTAGTTTGTTCCTCGGTCTTCTCCCAGATCGGTAATGAGATTTCAGGGTGGGGATGGCAGTCACTAGTGTTCCCTTGTGCAGCCTTTCATCTGCAAAGGGGAACTCCATAGTCTTTTCTCTGTGCCTGACGGGGAGGAACAACAAGTCCTTTAAGGCCCGTTAACGTCTAGTCCTGCTGACATGCGGGATGGCTCTGAGCTCCAGTGTTTTCAAGTTCCTGGACAAGTGTCCTCCTGTCAACGTGCACCCGGAAGGGCTCACATAACCTCCTATCCATGGGCAGCCACATTTCCTCTGGACTAAGGTTTCATGCTATTTTTAAATGCGCCCCCGTGGGCCACCGGGTGACCACCTCCTAAGCATGGGCCCCACGAGGAGGGGCTGCGCCAGCGAGGCGGAGCCAACGCACCCCAGACCCGGGGCGCCCGGGCTCAAGGGCGCAGGCAGGGCCTGCAGCCCCGCCAAGGTGCCCTTGAGGAGGTAGGGCGAAGGCACCTGCCCTCGGCGACGTGCGCGGCGCAGGAACCTCGCCAACCCGTCGCGCGCACAGCCCGCAGCCCCGCCCCTAGCGCCACTCTGAAAGCGGCTCTCCTGAGGGCTATCAGCGGCGGGAGCTTGGCAACGCCAGCCAATCCTCGCCGCCCGGCCGCTTTACGACAGCAGGCCCTGCTCCGCCCTCCCCGACACGCGCCAGAGGGCGGGAAGGAGGTGTGCTGCTCGCGTCAGCCAATCCGCGCCGCCGCCTCTGGCCCTGCGCCCTCCCATAGGCCACGGTGCGGCGCAGCCGTAAGGCGTGTTGGAGTGTCGCGAGGTGGGCCCGCGGTTGCTAGCCCGCTGTGGGGTGCAGCGGTAGGCGGGAGTGACATTGGGCTGCGGGGGCGGCGGAGGCTGCAGAAGCGCGAGGGCCCGGTGTCCGGTACGACCATGGCTGGCGCGCTGGTGCGGAAAGCGGCGGACTACGTCCGCAGCAAGGACTTCCGGGACTACCTTATGAGGTGCGGCGCGCGGCCGGCGGGACCCCGGACCCACGCCGCCCACCTCGTCGCCGCGCCGGCCAGGGCTGCCCCACGCGCGGTGCGGACGGCGACCTGGGGCGCCTCACCCGAGCGGGGGACGGGGGCGACAGAGGGGGCACCCTTCCCGGGCGGTGACACTGGGACGCCCCTCCCGCGCGGGTGACAGAGAAGACACCCTTCCCGGGCGGTGACACTGGGACGCCCCTCCCGCGTGGGTGACAGAGAAGACACCCTTCCCGGGCGGTGACACTGGGACGCCCCTCCCGCGTGGGTGACAGAGAAGACACCCTTCCCGGGCGGTGACACTGGGATGCCCCTCCCGCACGGGCGTCAGAGGAGACACCCTTCCCGGGCGGTGACCCCCGGGAAGCCCCTCCCGCGCAGGCGACCTGTGACGTCCTTCCCGGGACAGCGGTGGTGCTCCTCCCGCCCGGCGACAGGGCGCCCCTCTCGGGTCCCGCGCGCAGGTGCGCTGCAGGGAGGCGGCGGTCGCCGGGCGCCCTCGGGGTCGGACTGCGGGTCCTCTGCCGGCGCGGTCCCGGCTGCCCGCCGCCCAGCGCCTTGGTGGCCATGCGGAGCCGGCGTCCGCTGCAAGCCTGGGCCCCGGCGCACTCCAGCCCCGGGGTGTGACAGCCTCGCAGACCCTGCGGGCTCAGTAGCCTGGTCTCAGCTTATCTGCGTGTGATTTTAGAAACCTAGAAAAATGTGGGCATTTTCTTCCTTTTTCCCTTTCAATGGCAGTTTGGTTAAGAAGTAAATTAATGAAAGCTTTGGAGAAATATGTCCTATTATAACCAGCTAAAGGGTAGTGCATAGAGGCAACCTGATTTTAGTAATAAAAAGGATTAGTTTTCTAAATCCTGAACTTTATTACCAATACTTTTTACTTAAATTTTTACAAAGCAATAGGTAAGAAAAATAGATCAGTCGGCCATGTGGTAAATTTGGAAGTAGAGGCTTCTCTCCTGACTCTTAAAATAAAAGTTTCTATGCTTAAATAGGATTATGGTAAATTAAATACTGTGGAGCATGGCAATTTATTGTTGGTGTATGGCGGAAATTTTGAGCAAACTGGTGATCCCAGGACATGTTCTTAGTTCTTGCAATTATGTTTCTTTATGACTTTTAATATTACATTCTTACTTTAGTATTACATTCTTACTTTTTATTAATGTCTCCTGTTTATATAATCGCCCTTCCTGATGAGAACAGCTAAGGGATAACACTGTATTGTATAATGAAGAATAAAATTACTACACCTTAACTATAGAAACATATGTGATGATCATCTAGCAGTTCTGTTACATAGGAAGAATGTGCTAAATATATTCTCAAGTAGGAGAGATAGCCCTGCTTTTCTCAGATTATATTTCTTCTATTGGAAGAGTTTCTACTGAAAAGCCAGGGTTTTCAGTAGAATCCTTTGATATATTGTCTGATATTTTTCTTCTAACACTAACCTCATGCAGCTTTAATATATTTATAGGTTCTGCAGTATTACTTTAGTTAATTTACAGTTTGACTAATAAGGAAAAGAAAAGAATTGCAGTGCCCAGGAAAGTGCCACCAGTACTAGGGCACTAGACTAGGATTCAGAAGTATGGTTTCCTAGTGAAGAGATTGCAAGCAAGTCGATCCTGATGGACTTTAGTTACATAAAATGGGCTTCAGGATAATGTCCTATGTTGTTGGGGTATCAGGAAAATTTAATTGATTAAGGGATTTATGAAAATACTTGGGAACTCCAAATTACTATACATTTTAATATATCTTTTTTTGGTACCAGGAATTGAACTCAAGGGTGCTCAACCACTGAGCCACACCACAGCCCTATTTTGTATTTTATTTAGAGATAAGTTCTCACTGAGTTGCTTAGCACCTCGATATAGCTGAGGCTGGTTCACTATTTCGCTATCTCAGCCTCCCGAGCTGCTTCCATTACAGGCATAGGCTATAGCACCTCGCAATATATCCTTTTTTTTTTTTTTTTTTTTTGTGAGCAGAAAGTTTTATTGTCTGGATAAGTTAAAATCTTCAGTGTGAGGTATAAGGTTCTATGATTTTGACCTTGCTTTTCCTGCCATTCTTGTGTACAGTGGGATTTCACAATCAGGCCGCCAAACTAGTTGAAGGCAAGTTTCAAAACTGACCAGAAGTTTTATTTTAGCTTTTTTTTCCCCTACATAGAGAAAACTTTCTTCCTAGAACCTATCAGAGGAAAGTAATTTCTATTTATTCTCCTACCCTCCTTGCTTATAGCCCTGCTTTCTCTTAGCAAAGGAGAATAAAGCATATAAAGAAAAAAATTTTATTATAACTTTTTTGTTCCCACCAAAAACATTGTTCTGTTCCTCCTCCTACTTCATGAATAACTTACACATGCCTTGTATTCCCTAGATCTGTATTGTTCTTACAGCCTACTGAAGGGCTATAGAGGTTTCCTAAACTAAAGCCCCTCTCCCTCCTCCCCTCCTCCCCCTCTCCTCCTCCCCTCCTCCCCCTCTCCTCCTCCCCCTCCCCCCTTCCCTCCTCCCCTCCAACTCAGGGTCTCATGCAAACTAGGAAAGCATACTGCCACTGAACTGCATCAACAGGAAAATTTAAATATGATCTCAGTGTTAAATAATACTAACCAATTGTTGTCAATTTTGTTAAATGTGATGATGGTGTTGCTACACCCAGGTGATGACTTTAAAGCTATCCCTGTTGCTTTCTAGCTTTGTGAATTTGGGTAAATTACTTAGCCTTTGTGCTTTGGTACCTGTTTAGTGACAGCATAGTGCTTGACAAATGTTCATCTGAGAAACAGAAAGGGAACTGATAGCATGCAGAAGGGGTCAAGCTTGTGGGGTGACCTCACTTTATAATAACCCACTTTCTTGAGAGCTCACTCCAGAAGAACCCATAGTAATTCCTTCTGAGGACAGTGACTTCATCACCTTGGACAGTGCCTTACCTCTGAAAGATTCCACCATCTCAGCACTGCTGTATTGGGGACCAAGCCCCCAGTACACAAACCTGTGGGGGCCAAACCACAGCCAAATATAGCAGTCTCCAAGTCAGAACTTTACATTTCGAGTACTACTTCTTTTAAGATATTTTTATAAGGCAAAAAAAATGTGTCCTTGCTAATTTACAATTTTTTAAAAAGGCCTGTGTTCAGATCCTTAAAAAAGAGATTTTAAGGAGAGTAATGCTATAGGTGACTGTTCTACCTAGATTATGTTGTCCGATCTTAAGATCATTGATCCTTCTCAAAAAGTGCCATGCCCAATTTGAACTTGCTGTGAAATGTAATTTGGGTAGTGAAATTTATTAGGCTTTCTATGGTTTTAGGCATTTCCTAATGGAACCTACTTGAAGTATATTGCCACCCTCAATGATTATTTTCATGTTTAAATTAGAATCTCTGTGACCTCTAATGAAACAACCAGGAGAGCTCTTTGGACTTGAATGCATGTATTGAGGATTTTATTGTCTTTTTTCAGTAACTCAATAGCTAAACTGAGAATTTGGCTTGAGAGAGAAGTTGCCACGTTAGAAATCAGAGTTGCTCAACTATAAAACTTTTAATGTATTTTTTTAAAGATACCATGTTTAACATCCATGAAAACATCATTGAAAATTTTCATTCTTCATTCATTCAACAAATACTTTAAACGCCAGGCACCACTTTTGGTTGTTCAGTAGAAACAAAAATACACACCCCCTTGAGGCTTTCATTGTGCTGATAATGCAATAGTGAGTAGAAATTGAAAGTTCATTGTTAATAGAATTCTGCAGAGGTGTTCCTCTCTCCAACTTGTCGTTTTTAAAATGTGTATCCCCTGCAATTAACAGTTGTGAGCCACAGGCCAATACTGAGCACTTGCAATGTGGCTAGTCCAAACTGAGATGTGTATTGACTGTAAAATACACACTAGATTTCAAAGCATTTGTACAAAAAAAATGTAAAATATCTAAGTCATAACTTTATTAATTATGTGTTAAAATTAATAAAACTAATTTCTGTCCTTCTTTCTTTCCTTCCTTCCTTCCTTCCTTCTTTCCTTCATATCAGGGATTAAACCACTGAGCCACATCCCCAGGCCTTTTTATTTTAAAAAAACTTTTTTTTTTTTTCTAAATTGCTGAGGTTGGCTTTGAACTTGCAATCATTGTCCCTCAGCCTCCTGAGTTGCTGGGATAACAGGCATGTACCACCATGCCAGCTTATTTATATTTTTTGTAATGTGGCTTATAGAAATTTTTAAGTTACCTGTGTGGTTTGTGTTTATGACTTATATTGTATTTATTTTTGGCTGCTCCACTCTAAAGATTAAGCTTATTTTCCATAAAATGTAAATATAATTTCATAGGTCAAAGTTAAGAAATGTTACTTGATCACAAAGAGAAGACCAAAAAAAAAAAAAGAAAATGTGTGTTGCTAACCCTAGAATCCTGTTACTAAACTTGAAAATGTGTGAGTTGAACCTAACAGAACCAACTCTTTGTAACCATCTGATCTTTTTTATTTTTATTTTTTCCATGCCTCTTCTGTCTGAACCTTGATGATTCCTCACAAAATAGTACGGTAAGAAAATCGTTTCTCTCCATTCCAGGCTGTGGCAGACTTTCTGCATTAACAGAGTTATGGGCAACAGACACAGTGTCCTTCACTTGAGGTGGCGCTGTGTGTGTGGTGCTTCCCCAGGCCTGGCGCTGAGGGAAGTGGGTAGGGGGTGGGGAAGAGTAGAGAAAAGGGGAGAAGGAAAGAGGAGAGAGGGAAGGAGCAGCAGCGAGTGGTGGATCTTCTGCAGCAGGAAGGTGTCCAGGGCTAGATTTCAAAACATAGAGGCAGATCATGGTGCTGCTTATTTCTGTTGGAAGCAAGCCACAATAAAGAATCATAATGGAGTAAAACTATTTTCCCATTTAGTCCAAAATGTATTAATTTTCTCTTTTCAAATATTAATCAAGAAATTCCTTATTGTTCTAGAAATTGATGAATTTCTGGCAGCATATATTAATATGTTTCTCCAAAAAAGGAAGAGAGAAATGGAGTTTTGTTCTATGTAGAAAGTATGCATTATAAACTCTCTAAGGCTAGGTATTTTACTAAATTAGTATTAAAGTGATTTTTACCTTTTATGCTATTTTTAAGGGATATATTTGAAGTGTGACTCATGCTTATGACTCAGTCATGAATGTCTATGTAGTTCTTGGCATGCTGAACTGTCTCATGTAGCCTAACACTGACCACGCTTAAACTTTTAATGTGACCAGTTAGCCAGAAGACCTCCAGGACTACTTATGGTCTCCCACCTATTGCCTGCTACTGCTGTGCAAGAAGGCACCTTTATACCTGGGGGTAGGGATAAGCCCTAGACTCTCCAGGCTCCATCATAGCCCTCGGAGTGTGTGCATGACAGAGATAAGATTGCCATACAGGTGGGGGCGGTGAAAAGAGGCTGAATGGAAAAGTGATGACAGTAGACCAAGTGGAGAAAGTCCTAGTCAAAAAGGAGAAAAAGCCACTATGGAATGAAAATGAAATGACACCCAGTAAAGGACAGGTAGAAGAGAAGTCAATAGGTAAGGGAGAAGTGAGCACTTCTCCTTACAGAGGTGGGGGAAGGGAAAGGAAATAAAAATGGCTGTCCCTCATTGGAATACAAGAGAGTAAAGCATAAGCAGTGAGTATCGTATTCAGATATTATCCAGTTTGAATACAAGAAGACTAATTAGCTATTCCAGAATTTCAGAAATTCTGTAACCAACCATTCCAATTTGAGAGGTGATAACTTGTGTGTTAGACCCTGAATCTTTACCGTCCTGGCTGAATAAGAACTTTGACATGATTCTTTTAAGCATGAGCCTCATGATTTACATTTCAGCATGTTAAATAAACTTCAAAATATTTTTATATCACACAAAATGTAATTGTCATTATTCTTGTATTTCTCTTGGTTTCTTCTTCTCAGAGAATTTTTGGATTTTAATGATGCTCAATTTATTCCACCTCTGTATTTGTGTATGATAGGCAAAAGTCCAGCAAGGAACTCTTTCACTGTTTATGTTCTGATAATTAACTAAAAGGGGCACTTGACTAACAAAGTGTGGATCCTTTTAAGATACTATTGTTAAATTCTATATAAAACAGTTCCAGTTTAATGGAGAAAAGCCACTGGCCTTTTAAAAAAATTTTAGCCTCAGAAATTAAATTGGGCATGGTTGCTATTAACCATGGGCAACTTAATTTTGGTAACCTTGAATGGCAGTAATTGTAGGATGAAAGAAAAACTGTTGGTCCATTTCTTTAAGTTTTTGCTACTATTTCAAAAGTATTTTCCAGTCATAATTTCTTAGGGCCTGGGGGAAGATCTCTGATCTTAGAATAGCTCATATGAGCTAAAAAACAATTTCTTCCCTTATTAATTTTTTTCTTCAGAAAAAGTACCTAATTTAGGGTTTTTAAGGTTAATATCTGAATTAAAACTTGAAAAAAAGTAATTTTAATAGATTTAAACAATTAGGGAGAATAGTTCTAGCAAGGTTTAAATTATAACCAGAGTGAACCATGTAAAGAGTTGGTCTCATTTTTAAATTCTTTAAATGAGTGGAACAATCAGATTATTGAGTTGGAATCTGAAAATTGGTAGGGATCTTAGTAAACAACCAAATTCTTTCTCGAGTTGGGCTCCTTTGTGAGAACTGCCTACTCACATGAAAGCCCTTGAACAATCACACAGTGATAACCACCCATGAATTAACCCAGTGAACCTGCAGCATATAAAGGTGAAGATTGAGGAAGATTGCACCTGTTCATGGCTCTACCTTAACTCTTCCCTCTCTTCTCTCATGTTTTGTAGCACTTCTGGGGCCCAGTAGCCAACTGGGGTCTCCCCATTGCTGCCATCAATGACATGAAGAAGTCTCCAGAGATCATCAGTGGACGAATGACATTTGGTAAGAACACAGACAGACTGTCATGATTCAGAGGACTTCACACACAGCAGAGCTGTTGCTCACATTTCACATTTGTAGCATCAGATGTTACAATCATTAGTAGAACGTGACATAAAGAATATGGTGACATTGAAGAGTGTCATCTTTTTCTCTATGATGAAGAAATAGAATTAATTTGAAGTACTTAAAACCAAGATTTCTTCATTTCTACTAGGGGTTGGGTTGGGGGCCTGCATAAACTAACAGGCTTTTGCAGCTAAGAAAGCCCAACACTAAAGTGTTGCAGCTAATTAAAGTAGGGGATGCCTGCCAATGTCAGTTCTGAGGGTCACAGTTGACAAAGCCGTACTCTTTTCCATTATTATCAAGCGATGTGTTAGAGTTCTTAATTGTGGACTATGCTCTCCAGCATTGCAATAGACCCAAGCAGCTCACTACCAATTTCTTCTGGGTTTTTGTCTCACAAATCCTAAGAAAGAAGTTCACGGAGAATGGAAGGCAAGAGTGAAAGGTGTAGCATGAGAGGGGACCCTATAGCAGGTTGCCTCTTGAGTGTGCTAGTCTAAGGGTTTACAAAGCTCTTGGATCAATGCTATTTGTCCAAATTTCTGCTAAACAGGTTTTAGAAAAGTACCAACACTATTGGTTAACTCTTGAGCCCAAACATTTCTGCAGTCTTCATTCTGGCCTGTCCTCACTTAATTTTCTTTTTAGTTACCAGCCTGTGCTGGGCCATAGCATGTTGATACGTCAACACATCCACAGGCCAAAGTGCCCTGGCTCGCCTTGGCCTTGCTCACCACACTTCAGGCTCACACGGCCCCGGCCTATGCTCACTGCCTGCACTCCAACCCTCCTAGGCTACTGCTCCAGGACAAGGGCTTGGCCTCAATACTTAAGAAATATTAACATTCACCTTTAAGATTTAGTATACCGAGCTGAAAAATATGCCATCTTAATCCTGCTGATAGTCAACTAACAGATTTTTTTAAATATTTTTTTTTAATTTTTAGGTGGACACAATATCTTTATTTCTATGTGGTGCTGAGGATCAAACCCAGTGCCTCATGCATGCAAGGCAAGCACTCTACCACTGAGCCACAACCCCAGCCCCCACAGCCAACAGATTTATGTTGTAAACTTGATTTGGAAGAGTGTCATCAAGTTTACTTGAAACCCTGATGTTTGAATATAAAACTATTGTTAAAAGCATAAACAGTAGTTCTCTCAAATCGTGGGTTATAAACAGTTCTAAGAGGCAGAAATGTGTCAAGAATTTGTTTCCATTTATTCTTGCTAACATATATGTTCCTAAAATGTTTAAGTGATAACAAAAATGCCTCCACAGTACAGTGAAATATTTCATGAGCTTTCTACTAGAGGCAGTACCTTTTATGATCTGCCAAGGGTTTTAGCAGAAGAGTGTCTTTTTTTTTAGTTAATGCTGTGGACCCATTGGTCTCTGGTCCCTTCAGCCCTAAGCTATCTAGATGGTAAGTTATTGATGTTTTTTGCTTTGGTGTTTCTGCAGCCCTCTGTTGCTATTCTTTGACATTCATGAGATTTGCCTACAAGGTGCAGCCTCGAAACTGGCTTCTCTTTGCATGCCATGCAACAAACGAAGTAGCCCAGCTCATTCAGGGAGGACGGCTTATCAGATATGAGTAAGCAGATTTGAATTACTTTGCTTGGAGAAATTGGGGAGAAAGAAACCAAGACCTTGTGCTAGTGGCAGTGGGGAGCTGGGATGCAAGTGTGTCTAGGTGGGAAAACGTGACTTATTTAACATGAAAATAGGTATTTCAGTTTTTGTAAAATCTTAAGTTAAAATAAGCATATGGAAAGCTGTCTTCTAAAGTCACTTGGAGCAGCGTTTTCTCATTGAATTTTTCTTTGTGATTATTTCCAGGATGACTAAAAAGGCATCTGCATAGAAATGGAAGGAACAAGCTCTTGAAAGGACAGCACCCCAGCTACTGCTGCAGAGTCACAGATTCCATCAGCATGAATAGGAGGAAATGTGGAATGCTATTTTTACTAACCATACCATTTTTATAGATATAGCTGAGAGTCCCTAAACAAACTCTCTGCTGCCTTACAAGTATTGAATATTTTCCCTTCATAGAGTAGCTCAAAATATGCAATTAACTTAATAATTTCCAATGATGGTTTTATCTGTATTCATACACATATTATCTGTTGGGATTTGCTTAATGAAAAACTGAACAGAGCAAAATTTTATAACTACTCACATTTAAATACTCAGACTTCTTGACTTTAATGACTGCAAGATATCCAACAACTTAACACATACCTAAAATCTGATCTTCAGTGTTTGAAAAACTGTCTGTGTATTTCCATGCAGTATGTACATTGAGATGCATGCTGTAACTTAAATGGCAATAAATGATTTAAATATTTGTTATATGAAATGACTAAATATCTTGCTTTATTTGCTAGGGAACTGCAGAACAATATAAAAGAAGACATTATAGGTGAAAACTATAATTCCTTGAAAATTATTAGGATTTCCTGAGGAAGTGAAGGGTCTGAAGGCCAATTTCTCAGGAAAGTGCTACAGTCCCAGCTGTTCAGAATGTATATGCCCATGCGTCACTGTTCCTGTTCTCTCTGGGCTTCACACAGCCCTATGAAGCAGGTAGGACCTTTTATAGAGGAAGTATCATGGTCATGGTGCAGAATTTGTGAAACACCTGGTATTTAGCAGGACCAGGTCACCCCACCTCCCTGCCTGCCACACTGATCTGGGGCCATGGCAGGATGGACTCAACCAGGTACAGTGCCAAACAGGCTCCCTTGGGCTCATTCTTCCATAGTTCCCTAAAGTGGAGTTGAGTTTTGTTCAAGGAATCAACACTAGGATCCATAGGTTGTTTCATTAGGTTTAGCCATTCCAACTGCTTAATTTATCATAACCACTGAAACCACCTCAGGCTTCCTTCTCCAGCATTAGTGAATGTAAGGGTTTGTGGTTTTGAGTTTTTGTCTTCCTTTCAAAGATCCCATCCTGTCAGGCTCGAACTGAGGAAGAAGCAAGAAGATATTCCAGACCTCCATCAGAAGATTTGCCAGCCCACCAAGTGGCGGCAGTGGAAGTAAGCCCATCTAGGAGCACAGGAGCTGCCGGGACCCAGGAACAGATACTGCAGAGGAGTCCCCGAGAGAAAAGCAAGCTCAGGTACGCAAGAACATAAGGAGATGAGGTCTGCCCAGTACTTTCTGCTAGCCAGAGCTTTGTCTGAAGAGACAGACTTGTGACTAAATACAAGCAGTGAGTGTGAATGCTCACATGGCCTCTGGAGTTGCTATGGGAGCCACAGACTGCTAGCTGAGCAGTCATTAGGAGCCAAGTAGAGACTGATAGGACACCTCACTCAGGGCCACAGGAAGATCTCAGCTGTCATGCTTCCCTTCCACATAGCTGAGTTCTTCAAAAACAACAGCAAGAATGCAAGATGAATGGCTGAAGCAACAGGAAGGTGTGCATTTTCCTCTGTTGGAACCCAATTCTTACTTTCCTACAGCATTGAGGCCAGACAAGATTTTGTTCAGATCCTTGGTTCCTTTAAGTGTACCACATCCAGTGTCTACTGTTAGCAAAAAGAACACTCAAGAGTAATAGTTTATAAGTAGTAGCTTTATCAAAATACGGTCTGACCAATTATTTAATCCCCCTGGACTTGGAGACAGAAGACTTCCTGGGCAATACTGACTCCTAGCTCTGGGAATCTCCTAACACTCCTTTATCGTACTTGAGCTATGTTTTCTAGAAATATGTATATTGCCACAGCTCTCAGTGAATGCCTGTTACATTCTAAGAGAGCGGCATGCATGGCAATGTTCAGTCCTAAGGACTAGAAACCACATTTGGTGTCTTCAGTCACCAACTTTATGACTTTTAGAATTTTGCAGTACTGGGAATTGAACTTAGGGGTGCTCTACCACTGAGCTACAGTCCCAGCTTTAAAAAAACAATTTTGTGATAGGGTTTCACTGAGTTGCCTAGGCTGGCCTTAAACTTGCAATCCTCCGGCCTCGGCCTCCTAAGTAGCTGGGATTACAGGTGTATGCCACCATATCCATCTGTGGCCATGGTATTTGGTGTGTGTTGGAAAACAGCAATATAATCACATTACTGCAAGAAGGTTGGCTTTAAAGTAATAAGCCACATAGTGAAAATGTGCAAACCGAGTTGGGCTGATATAAAACAATTACATTAAAAGTGGGACTGGGGTTATACTTCAGTGGTAGAACGTGCCTGGCATTTACAAGGTCCTGAGTTCCATCTCCAGTACTACCAAAAAAAAAGCTAAAATGTTAGCAGTACATCTTCAAAAACTTGATATAATATATATAATCACATATAATATTCTCCACAAATAATTCTAAAAAGCTAAAAACATTTTTCATTTCAAATAATGAAATAGAATTTGAAGATCCTAATGAATTGGAACTAACTTTTAAGATGATGTTGATACCAGTTGTCAGGGCTGTAGTCAGTGCCTTGTTGGTCTCAGCTTCACTGGCAGTTCTATTACAGGGAACTCTGGGGCAGAGGTGACAATTATAAAGCCCTTCCTGGACAACCAGGAATCTTCAGTCTACACAGCGTGAGTCCTGAAAGCCTAGGAAGTGTGACTCCACAGGCAGCAAGCACAGTGAGACTTGCCAGTATGAGGAAACAGGAAGTCAATGGCCTCTTTGTAATTCTCTCTGCAGGTGGCTTAATATCACATGCTCAGGTCTGTTCCTTCTTCCCATGCTCCATGTAGTAATAATGCAGTTCTGTCTTCTGAACCTTAATTTGGGTCCAGTTACTTTGTCTTTTTGTTTGGATTTATCAGCTGTTTTCACAGATTATTTAGTTTACACAGGAAGGAAAATAAAAACAAGTTGATATAGCACCTGTCTATATAAATATATAAATGTCTTCTTAGCAATCTGATATAATCAGATTGCTAAAAAGACATTTGATAGCTTCAAAATGATCTCTTGTCTTAAGGTCTAGAAGAGGAGCGAACATTCAGACTACATTGCCATGAGCAAAGACCCAGTAACTCTGATGACAGCCTGCCTGGCAGGTTAATGACCTGGGACTGAGTGGAGACTACAGAAGGAGCCATTGAGGTTAGAACATTGCTTTTCCCAGGATCTTACCCTATCTTACTCCAGGTAGCTGTGGAGAACTAATTCAAGCCAGTTTGGTCACACAGGATTCCTGGGCTTGTTTTTGTTTTTATTGGATGTAATAGAAATCACAAAGGATCAGTTACTTCCTGACCACTTTATTATGAAAGCTAGCTGCAGGTCAAAATTTGCCTTCCTATAAACATTCATTAGCCTGCAGGCACACAACCTCAGTGTTCACTTAATGAACCACAGCTCATTCTTTCAGGTCCTCTGAAAGGGATATTTATCTAGTCACACGTGACAGTGTTTCATCCATGATTGAAAATTCCCACATAAACAGGTAATTTCATTGGGGATGGTTTAATGATAGTTTTCTATTGTTATTAGGTAGACTTCTATAAAGTAAAATTTAACTGTATGCACATGAACTAAACCCATTCCCTTACAAACACAGCCCATACTGAAAATAGTATATAGGCTCAATTCTCTTGATTTTTAAAACGAAAGAATTAGTGTCATAGCTATTTTAGTTGTGATAACTTTTGAATATTTTTTTGTTTTAAGAATGGTAATAGACTCTAGAATTTTTTTAGTTGTAGATGGGTACAATATCTTTATTTATTTATTATAATATGGTGCTGAGGATCAAACCCAGTGCTTCACATGTACTAGGCAAGTGCTCTACCACTGAGCTACAAGCCCAGCCATAGACTCTAGAATTGTTATAGATTAATGTGTTTCTATGGATCGTGATTATTATGATTATTTGGGGCGGGGGGGGTCTCAAATGACATACCTTTGGCTCCTGGGAGCCCATTTAAAGATATCCTTTTGACAAAATTTCATTAATTTCTTTGTGTGGGTGGTACTAGGGATGGGAGCCAAGGGTATTCACTGAGCTACGTCTCAAGCCCTTTTTATGTTGCCAAGCATGGCCTCAAACTTGTGATCTCTCCTGTCTCAGCCTCCTGAGTTGTTGGCATTGCAGGTGGGCACCACTGTGCCTTTCCCACAATTCCATTAATTTTTTAGAGCTTCTGTGCTTTCTGGCCCACACTGTCCCTCCCCTGCCCATGACATGGAAGAGAAATTTCTTCCAGGGACTCTGGTTATGAGGACTGGTGTTTGTGACCAACATAGGGACTTCACACACTCATGCTGCCAGAGGGACACTGCTTCTTGGCCATTTCAGTACAGAGCACCATAAGGGATTTATTATTTTTTAATCACAAGTTCATATTGATATTTCTACTTTAATTCTAATAAGGTATTTCTACTTAATGTTTTTGGTTTTATAATTGAATCTCTTCTTATGCTGAATGACATTTTCCTCATAATAGACATTTCATACTTGCTTGCTTACTTGACCTAGGAAAATATTTTCATAATGATATTAACATATTGCCTCAAACAGGGAAACTACTGAATAGAAGTTCAAAAAAGCTTTTCAGTTTTGTCCTTGAACACATCTCCCAGGTCTGTGAGCTTAAAGTCACTGTTCACTTGAAGCTGTCTTTTCCTGTTATGGAAACACTTAACCAGAATGGAGTTTAGGAGGACACTTTGTTTTTACTTTCACTATAAAGACTTTTGCATTCTAGCAGCTGCTAATTCTTAGAAGGTAGCACTTTGGGCTATCCGAGGTTGGAGGCCACTCTGCCAATGACCTTTGAGGTGGTCAGCCCTCTGAACAATTTCATTATGTGTTTCACATCTCTACCCTGTCAGCCCACCCCAGTGAGTTCTGACTAAATGATCAATTCTGCATTTTGCCACTGAATTTCTAATACATTAGAACCTAGGTATTTTAATTTTTTAAACTTGTTCTCAAAGATAATCCTGTGAAAGTTTTATCTCATGCCTTTTTTGATTTACAGTTCATATCCAACCTCTCTAAATGCCAGACTCTGCATTTTTACTCACAGTTTAAACTATAAATTCAAATAATTCTCTTGACCTTGTATGAGTCAGTGTTTCCCTACAGGGGGATTTCATGAGATGTATAATATCTTGAGATGCCACATGTTAAGCAAAGGAGACATATATAAACACAAAACCTTAAGATTTTGTCTGAAATCTCCACTCTTAAGTCAAATGCAGATTTTTCTTTATTTAGGTACTTTGTAGCACAATTAAACATCCTCCAAAGGATGCTTCTGGGGAGAAACCCTCCTGGTCAGTTTACCTGGATGAAGTTCCACAATGAGACACACAAGGGGACAGCTACCATTCCAACTGGTGACATGGGAAAGAATAGCCCCCCCTTTTGAAACTCTAACTG